TGGAGAAATGGGGGACTGGGGTGATGGGTGAGTGGAGAAATGGGGGAGTGTGGGGGGTAATGGGTGAGTGGGGAGTGGGCGGGGCCTCACCTGGCCCGTGTCGGTCTTGTCGCTGCACCACTTGCCCAGGTCAGTGAGGCAGCGGCGCTGCAGCTCCGGGTCCAGCTTCACGTCCAGCGCCCTCTGGTGGAGGATCCGCTGGACCTCCACCTTACAGTCCCGGGACAGCTGAGGACACACCAGCACCAGTCACACAACACGCAGTAGTTCATTGGTAATAAAACTTTTTTATTAATTGCCGTTTCTCCCCAAAAAAACTAAATGTGTGATCTCAGATGTGCTTCTTCCCTCTCCATTTGTGTCTGTTAAGACCCCAAAATGGTTCCTTTCGAGAGACACCAGCCAAAAGTTTGGAGTTTCTGAACAAAACGTGTGCAAAAGCGCCTTAAAATCAAGCAGGAAGTCACAGACACGTAAGACAAGTAATCACAGCCGGCCAGACGCTCAGATCAGGTCTCATTTTGGCCCCCCCACCCTGATCAGAGCAGAAGCCGGAGCTCTTACCTGCCCGTCTGGACGCCCCTGTTGATTTAAAGAACATCAGAGTTACACCTCAACACTACTCAGAACAAAAGCTGCCCCTAAAGAAGGCCGGATTATGAAGAAAACCCCCTAAACATCTGGCTGCAGTCTGTAGGAAGCCAAGGATGGATATCCAACTCCGCCCACATCCAAGATGGCCATTTTGATTAGGTCACCAATAGGAAGATCCCAGGCAAGAAAATCCTAATTGCTTCATGGCAATATAGACATTCATTTAAAAATAGTGAAATGAATCTTGCAAACACTGAATTAAAATCTATCCATAATATTATGTTTAAATAGTGGATGTTAAATAGGTTTGTACAATAAGTCCAAACAAGTTTAACCAAAAAATATTTATTTCTCTCAATTATGAAGGGTGGAGGGGTAGGATTAGGGTTAGGGTTTGTGTTAGGTTTAGGGTTGCGTTTAGGGTTGCATTTAGGGTTAGGCTTAGGGTGGAGGGTTAGGGTCAGGGTCAGGGTTAGAGTTAGGGTCAGGTTTAGGGTTAGGGTCAGGGTTAAGGTTAGGACATCGTTTATCTTCTGATTTCGTATAGACAGTAAAGTTTTGTTTCCACCTCAGAAAGCTGCTAGTCACATGACCTAATCAAAATGGCCGACTTGGATGTGGGAGAAGTTGGATCTCCATTCTTGGCTTCCTACAGGCTGCAGCCGGAGGCTGCTGCGTGTGGCGGCGTCCTACCCGGCGGCCCTGCTCCTCGGTGCGGTAGGCGTGGCGGTACAGGCAGGAGAAGACGGCGCCCGGCGGCATCAGCTCGCTGGTCTCGTTCCAGCCGTGCGTGTGGCAGAGGCGGGCGGCGTCCCCCTGGCACTTCCTGTACAGGGTGGGGTCCAGTCTGCCGGGGAGACAGAGACCTAGTCAGATCTACCAGCCGATTGGCCGGCATCACCTGTTGCTGGGCGGACATGTCTGGGGCCTATAAAGAGACCCCCTTTTAAGGACTGCAGAAAGAGAAAACTGAGTGTATCTAATACAGCAGAACCTCTATTACGATGTCTAAACATCCACATTTTCCAATTTACGAAGTAAAATTCGATCAAATATTCGACTTGACACACAAATTAAATTTCCAACAGACGTCGAAGTCATACATAAAGAATAATAAAAGTAGATAAAGAATAGATAAAGAATAATAAAATGTAAAAACAAATAAAAAATAAACAAGCTGGGTAAAAATAAAAATAAACAAGCACCTCCAAACACCTCCGGGTGTTTTTTTTCTGTGTAATTATCTGCAGTATTTATTAAGGAGTTATCGTAGGTTTTTGGAACCAATTCTAGGAATTACAGTGTATTCTGATGGAAGATTTGAACCAACATACCAATATTTTAACATCCAGATCCAGTTTATTTTTTAAGTCCGATCCCACACGAGCGTTAGCATTAGCATTAGCATCTGCAACCCACAGGTCTGTGTCCTAACCATTAAGTTGTTATCAGAGTAAATCCCTCCAATATTTAACACAGAAGTCGGTCCTGGAACAAATCAAATTTGTATGTAGGGTTTCTACTATATATGTATTATGGTAAAAATAAATTTAAAAAACACTAAAATGGACTATATAGTGTTTAATAATGAAGCAAGTTCATGTAGTCCAGTCTGCATGTTTTGGAGTAAATTCCAGCTGAAGCTCTGAAACAAAATGAGTTTTTTTTACTTTAGATCCCTTTTAGGTTCCTAAGTCTAAAACAGCTCCTGAAGTTTGGATTTAAAACCTTCACACGTCAGACATTAAATCACCAGGGTCAACAACGTGGGCGCTCACTGTTGTTAAAAGCTTGTTTTAAGTCGAGCAATATTTAGAAATCTGGGCGTAAAAGTGCAGGCTGCACTCACTTCCAGTCTCTGGAGATGAAGTACTGCAGCTCCAGCAGCCGGTGCTCGCAGTCCTCCACCATCTTCTCCGTGTACAGGTGCTCCATCAGGCAGGACAGGATCCTACAGGCACACAGACCGGTTCAGTTCCCACCCGGGGCCCAGCCCCCGGACCCCCCTCTCTCCGGGATCCAGCCGGCCCACGTGAGGGAAATCAATACATGTATGAGCACTTTATTCACATTTATTATGAAGGTTTTTTCTTTCTCATGGGACTCTTTTCTCTTTTAGGGTCTCAGAGAAGGTCTCCTTACATTTTATCTCTTAATCTTTTGTCTGGAGGATTTAAACACACGGGAAGGGAACCCCAGGGGAACCAATCAGGGATCAGGGAAGACAAGCAGACATGTGACACACAGGGGGGTGCAAGAGACCTGAAACAAGGGGATGTACCTTTCAAAATAAAACAGGAAATGACCAGACAAATGGAAACAGGACATAACACCAAAAAATCCCCTAGACATGACACATCCCAAAATGTAACCAAACCAGGGCAAAGCCATAAAACATGTGCACGGTTCCCATTCGTCTCCCCACATTTTTGCCAACAGGGTTGGGGGGGTAGATTTATATTTGCTTTTCCGTTTGGGTGGAATAAATCATTTCCTTTTGGGATTATTAAAGTATTTCTGATTCTGATAAAGAAACGTATAATGTTTTTCCAACAATGTTCTCTCTCCATGTATGTGATGATGTGTCTGCCGTATGTGTAACCAGTTTTTAATCCATTTATGTTTCCTACTCACTCGGACGGACTCAGACTTTTGCTTTAGAAAGACTCACATGGGGTCTCCGCTGCGGATGTGCTTGCAGGCGGTCTGGATGACGGACTCGCAGGCCTCGTTCAGGGCGCGGTCGATCCGGTAGTCGGCGCCGGGGTCGGCAGACTGCACCAACGTCTGCAACTGCACGGGCAGAAGCAGCCGTCAGTTTCTGATGACTCAGCTTTACACGGCTCCCGGAAAAAAATCGGAAATGTGAAGACAGAACCCTCCAGGGGACTAAATATCTATATACCAACAAATGTGTCATGTTAGATTCATCTCAGACCTTTTGCATCATTTCATTGTAAAAACTTTGCTCAAAGTTGTTTTTCAAAATCAGATATGGCTGAAAACAGCAGGCACAAGACGACAAGACAACAATTTTGACTTATTGCACGATAATAAGTGAGAAAGATTAAATTATTTCTGTGTTTTTTTCAAAAGTTCCTTAAGGGCAAAACAAAGACTTCGGATTAAAAAAAGTACATTTTTCTCTTTTTTAAAATATTTTCTGAAAAGGCCAAATTAAGACTTCAGACTAAAAAAAAAGTACAATTCTCTCTTTTTTTTCAATATTTTCGTAAAGGGCCAAATTAAGACTTCCGACTAAAAAAAAGTAAATTTCTCTCTTTTTTTCCAATATTTTCTTAAAGGGACAAATTAAGAATCCAGACGAAGAAAAAGTAAAATTTTCTCTGTTATTTTTCATATTTTCTGAAACGGCCAAATTAAGACTTCAGACGAAAAAATACACATTCTCTTTTTTTCATATTTTCTGAAAGGGCCAGACTGAAAAAAAAGTGTAGCAGGGCGCTCCTTCCAGCTCAGCTTTGCAGCAGTTTCTGTTTGTGTGTCTGTTTGTGGTTGTGTTTGTGCATGTAGCAGCAGCTCTTGTGTTTGTTAGTGTGTCTGTGTTCGTGTTAGTGTTTGTGTGTCTGTTTGTGTTAGTGTATCTGTTAGTGTGTGTGTGTCTGTTTGTGTTAGGGTTAGGGTGAGTGTGTGTGTGTGTGTGTGTTAGTGTGTGTGTGCGTCCCTACGGCGCTCTGGCAGACGCTGTCCACGGTGGCGCTGCGGTCAGGAGGGTCAGGTGTGTTATGTGTTATATGTTAGTGTGTGTGCGTCTGTTTGTGTTGGGGTTAGGGTGGGTGAGTGTGTGTGTGTGTGTGTGTGTGTGTGTGTGTGTGTGTGTGTGTGTGTGTGTGTGTGTGTGTGTGTGTGTGTGTGTGTGTTAGTGTGTGTGCGTGTCCCTACGGCGCTCTGGCAGACGCTGTCCACCGTGGCGCTGCGGTCAGGAGGGTCAGGTGTGTTATGTGTTATACGTTAGTGTGTGTGTGTCTGTTTGTGTTGGGGTTAGGGTGAGTGTGTGTGTGTGTGTGTGTCTGTTTGTGTCAGGGTTAGGGTGAGTGTGTGTGTGTGTGTGTGTGTGTGCGTGTCCCCACGGCGCTCTGGCAGACGCTGTCCACGGTGGCGCTGCGGTCAGGAGGGTCAGGTGTGTTATGTGTAATACGTTAGTGTGTGTGTGTCTGTTTGTGTTGGGGTTAGGGTGAGTGTGTGTGTGTGTGTGTGTGTGTGTCCCTACGGCGCTCTGGCAGACGCTGTCCACCGTGGCGCTGCGGTCAGGAGGGTCAGGTGTGTTATGTGTTATATGTTAGTGTGTGTGTGTCTGTTTGTGTTGGGGTTAGGGTGAGTGTGTGTTAGTGTGTGTGTTTGTGTGTGTGCGTGTCCCTACGGCGCTCTGGCAGACGCTGTCCACCGTGGCGCTGCGGTCCCCGCGGCCGGCCCTCATCAGGCAGTGCAGCGTGCGGCCCTTGCGGTGCAGGCCGGAGCACTGCGCCTCGATCTCGGCCCGGCAGTGCAGCACGATCTCCGGGCTCAGGGAGAAGTCCTCCATCAGCATCCGCCGGTAGTCCAGCATCTCCCCCTGACACTCCCCGCTCACCGGCCGGCCTGGGGGGGGGGCAGAGACACAGAGACTCAGACTCAGCTCCTCTGGGGACCATTCAGGTTTCCTTTTCTCTTCATTTTATTTCAATTTTTACAACTTACACAGAAATATATACACACACAAACCCACGTTTAGTCTGCTGCTCTTCACTTAAATATACTTAAAGCAACTTTAAATGTGTATGCATCAGGTTAAACATAAAAGTAAAATAGGTTAGATGATTAAACCATGAGTAACAAACAAACATAGCTATAAGTGGTTCAGTTAATAAGCAATGCATATGAAGATAAATGAGTGAAATAAAATACAATATAATATAAGAAATAAAAAAAAAAAAATACAAATAATAAATAAGAAAAAAAAAAAAAAAAATTTTAAAAGACAAATAAATAGAAATGGTTAAAACAGAAACAGAAAAAAAGAAAAAGAAAAGAAAAAAATGTTAAATACTGAATATTTAGGCGACTTTTCTTGCATTTCTAACACAAATAAGATCAGATCTCAAAAAGCTGACAGAGGACTTCGTCCCACTCCCTTCAGAGAGAAAACTAATCCTGGGTTCTACCCCAAGTGCAGAGATTAGAGTCCAAAGTCTCCTTTTATTTTCTCCAAACAAAAACTAACTCAGATGGCTCAAAAAAAAAGAGAAATAGGAAACACAAGGGCTCCAAAAGTTGAACAAAAAATGTTTGATAACACCGAACGCAATAGGCCAATAGGAATGGGGCGTTAACATCCCAAAACAAAGAATCCCAAAAAATACCAGTGACATGGACGCAAGACAAAGACTCAGAGCCTAAAAAAACAACCCCAGAGCTTAGGGTTGTACTCATTTTCGAAAGTATCGATACGAAAGACACTAACCTGTCAAAATTCATAAATTCACTTAAATTTAGGGGTCTTTGTTTTTACCCTTGTGGTATCGAAAATGCTATCGAGTGGCGAGTATTTTCCTGAGTATCGGTATCGAGTTGAAAATGTTAGTATTGTGACAACTCTACCTGAGGTTGGATACAGACTAACTACACAAATAGACAACAGGTGGCGGAGGAGGGAACCCCAACGAGAGGGCGGGGCCGGACCACCTGACCGACAGGTGACCGGCCCCTGGTGGCCGGAACAGCCCTACGCTGTGGGGGGGGGGCTCACCGCGGTGCACGGCGGCCTCCAGGCACAGCAGCAGGTAGGACAGGCGGGCCTCGCGGGCGCGGGGGAGGCTGCTGTCCAGGCTGCAGCGCTGCTTCCTCAGGTCAGCCCGGCAGGCTTTGGCCAGAGAGTAGCTGACCCGGTAGTCCTGGGAGATCAGCTTCTGCCGGGTGGTCAGCGCGTCCCGGCACTGGAGGGGTGGGGGGGGGGATGAGCGAGCAGCATCTCCTGTAGGAGCCTCGGCTGGATATCCAACTCCTCCCACATCCAAGTCGGCCATTTTGATTAGGTCATGTGACTAGCAGCTTTCTCAGGTGGAAACGAAACTTTACTGTCTATACGAAATCAGAAGACCTTAACCCTAACCCGGACCCTGACTCTCAACCTAACGTTGACCTTAACTCTGACCCTAACCTAGCCCTAACCTAAACCTAACTCTAACCCTAAACCTAACCTTGACCCAAACCCTAAACATAACCCAACCCAACACTAACCTAAACCTAACATAAACCTAACCCTAACCTAACCTTAAACTTAACCTAAACCTAACCCAACCCTAAACCTAACCATGAACCTAACCCTAACCCTAAACCTAACCCTGACCCTAACCCTGACCCTCCACCCTTAAATATAAATATTTTCTGGTTAAACTTGTTTGGACTTATTGTACAAACCTATTTAACATCCACTATTTTAACATAATATTATGGATAGAGTTTAATTCAGTGTTTGCAAGATTAATTTAACAATTTTTAAATAAATGTCTATATTGCCATGAAGCAATTCGGATTTTCTTGCCTGGGATCTTCCTATTGGTGACCTAATCAAAATGGCCGACTTGGATGTGGGTGGAGTTGGATATCCATCCTTGGCTTCCTGCAGTCTGCAGCCATATTAACTTAAAATGAACAGGTGACCAAGGCGGGGGGGCAGAGAAGGGTCTGAATGACCCCCTGGTTTCAGACGGATTCGCACCTTTTCCGACATGGACTCCTCGAACTTGTGATTGAACAGACACTTGTAGACTTTTCCCTCTCCTGCCTGAGTCTGTGGGGGAGACAAAAAAGGGGGGACGGGGGTTAAAACCACTCACTCCTTCATTTTGATGCCTTTGTTTTAAAATCATCTTTAGAATTTAAAGAAAATTTAATGTTTTAGTCTTTAAAAATGCATTTTTCTCCTTATTTTCCAGCATCTCTCTACTTTCCACTCTTACATAAAAATGGACATTTTTACTCCAGAGGAGTTCACTTAGAGCTCATAAAGCCTCTTTAAGTGGACATTTTCATGATTAGATCCACCATAATCAGAATCAGAATCAGAAATATTTTAATAATCCCAAAAGGGAAATTATTTAAAGGTGAATTAAACAAATGGGAAGAAATGAGCTCCTGTAGGGATTTTACTGCACTTTTACTGCACAAAAAGGAGGAAAGAAGGGAAAAAGACATGCTAAAACCCAGAACATGGCCTCTTTGTGCTTTCTCAGCTGGCCTTTATGGGTCAAATATTCTGAATCTGATCTACTGTAACTGGATTTTCATCCCGAATAACTAAATATAATTTAATCTGACCCAAAATAAAAGTTTTTTCCTTGCTTGTTTTGTTTAAATATCAAAGAAAGAAGTGAAGCAGCAACATAAATTCCGACTTTGGCTCATTTTTCTGCATTATCTCAGCAGCCAGGGAAACATTTAGCAGCTTTTTTAACCCCCCCCTCAGCTGGGTGGCGGTCTGCGAGCGTCTGGAGGGCGGCGGCGTACGTTCTGGCAGAAGCGCTCGCGGTCGTCCCGGCAGGCGAAGTAAAGGTGGCGGTCCAGGTGGAAGTCGTCCGAGGACAGCTCGGCCACCCGCAGGATGGCCTTCTGGCACTCCTCTCTGATTGGCCGGACGGGGTCCTGCTGCTCCGCCTCCCGGACCAGCGCCTTCTCCAGGCAGGCGATGACCTCGCCCTGGGAGTGGACGTCCTGTGGGGGGCAGACAGGATCAGGGTCTGAGCGAAAAGCTAGATAAATGCCTTTTTAAAGTTTGTGAAACGGAAAGAAAGAGCTCATTTTCATGAAAAGGGAGTTTTGTCAGAAATGGGACTCAAGGCTGGACTCAGATGAAGAGATTTTTGTCATTAAAGGCAAAGTACTAAATAATAATCACTAGAAAACGAGGCAGGCAAAGTATCAAAGTATCATATAATAATCACTAACGAGGCAGAACAAAACTGTGGACAAAAAGTAAAACTTTCTAAGACTTTAAAAATGAGCCAGAACTCTGTTGACGGGAGCTCTGAACAGCAATCAAGAGAAAATACTGCCCTGGAGAAGCTTTTACAGCTGTTTTTGGGGGGATTTTAAAGCTGTTTTGGGGGGTTTACAACTGTCTTAAGGCTTTTAAAGCTGTTTTGAGGGCTTTTAAGGCAGTTTTTTGGGCTATTTTAAAGTTGTTTTAACCATTGAGTTGTTATCAAAGTAAATCCCTGTTCAACACGAGTCTGACAACTAAATAAGTAGAATAAATAACTTTAAACTTTAACACATGCTCTGATAGGCCGGGATCAGGATCGGAAGTGAAAAAAGCTGGATCGGGACATCCCTATTTTGGTTATATCAAACAGCTGGAACATCAGATATATTGATAAATACAAAGAAACCTGATTTTTCAAAGCTAAAAAATCCCATTTCAGCCCCTAAAATAAAAGCACTACAGCTCCAGATGGAAGGTAGCCTAGATCTTCTCTTTTTAATGTTCTGTGTCTATGTTGGACTGTGATTTGATCTGATCTGAGGTTTAGGCTTCCGGCCTTCCTGTTACCTGGCGTCTGATTAAAGAGCGGGACACACCTTGTGGCCCACGTTGACGCTGCCGCACCGCAGGCTGTTGATGTCCTCTTTGCATTTGTCGGTGAAGCCGCAGATCAGCCGGTAGTCGCTGAACACGATGCTGGTCATCTTCGTCACGTACTGGTTGCACTGGTACTCGCTGATGTTGCCACGGTGATCCACCAGGCAGGACAGCAGGTAGCCCCGCCCACGCTCCTCCTGGCTGCACTCCTTTATCTGCAGGGGGGAGCGGCGTCAGAGGGGGGAGGGGGGGCCGGGGGGGGGGGGGGGGGGGCACCACCCACCTCAGAGATGGTGCTCTTGCAGACTTCTGTCGCCACAGACTCGAACTTGGGATCCATGGTCAGGTTCAGTTTGTAGTTCCACAGGAGCTGGGGCCGAAAAAGTACAGGACACTTAACACAAACTGACCGGAGAAAAAGAGCTGTGCTGTAATCTAATATTATTAAAAACATTTTCAGCTCCTCTCGCTTGGCGGCCCGACCACGTCATGCCTCCAACGAGTTCATAGAAATGATGATAAACTGCAGGATAACATGGAGGATGATGCATTTTTTTTTGTTGATTCCCTGTTTATTTTGCATATATTTGATATAAAAACTTCATTTGCCAACCCGTCCTACCCCACGGAGCAGAGCGCCCGACCCAAACTAACCCAATCCAGCCCAAAAGGGACCCAAACTGGTACAAAACTGACCCAAACTAACCCAATCCAGCCCAAAAGGGACCCAAACTGGTCCAAAAGGGGACCAAACCGGTCCAAAACTGACCCAAACTGGTCAAAAACGGACCCAAACTTACTCAAACCAACCCAAAATGAACCTAAACCAGTCCAGAAGGGGGCTAAACCGGTCCAAAACTGGTCCAAAGCCTACCCAAACTGCCCCAAATCAGTCCAAAATAGCCCAAAAGATAACACGGCGGGACGATGAATTTTAAACGAAAACCTTTTTTTTTCTTTTCTTTTTTTTCGATTTCCTGTTTATTTTGCATGTATTTGATATAAAAACTTCCTTTACCAACCCATCCTACCCCACGGAGCTGAGCAGTTGGTCATTTTGTACCCGGCTCCTGGCATCCCCAAAGCTCAGATAACAGCTGCCGGCAGTCAAACCGCCCAGAAAACGAGACTAAACGAACGCCTGAGACGTGTTAATTACAGCCAGTGCTGCTATAAAGGCTGTCGACGGCTCCATTAGCCCTGTGGTTTCTTTATAAACCTCCCCGTTTGTGGTCCACGAGCCCCGAAACTGAACATTAGAGGGCGGTGAGCTCGGTGAGGGTCCTCAGTAACGGTTAGATTAATGTTAAGAGGTCCTTAAAAGCTACCTCTGAGAGTGTGAGTCATGGTGACAGTGAAGGAAACAGGACGGTTTTTAAAAACAAAATCAGGGTAGATTTTGATGCAGATTTGTACATTATCATTTACTTTTTTAATCCAGACATAACCCAAATGTTTAATGAAGAAATCCTCCATTTGGCTCTGCTTCAGAGGTCCTAACGCTCCTCTTTAGAGGTCCTAACACTGCTCTTTAGAGATCCAAACGCTCCTCTTTAGAGGTCCTGACCCTGACAAAGAGAGTTTAACATTTTATGAAAAATACACCAAATCTGGGCCTAATTACAGCCAACCTGTCAGGCTTTAGCCGGCTACTCTCAGGACACATTTACATTCTGAACTGGGGACTTTCGCCCACATTCGGTGAGGAGAAAGCTTCAGGTTCCTGCGTGTTTGTGAGGGTCTTGGAGGGAATACTCACATGGTTGCAGTCGGGAGCGATGTCGGTGTCCTGCAGAAAAACGGAGACAAAGAAAAGGGTGATTTTCCAGCCGGATTCAAAGACTTCTGAACACACACCAGTTAACAGACGGCATCAGGTCTCTTTAATCATGCAGTGAGTACAGCCTGAACTTTAGGTTAAACCTTAAACAACTTATATTTCTGCTGAGCGAGCATCAAACAAACAATGAAGGGTTAAACTGTGATCTTAAGCCCACAGTGGGCAGAGAGAGCTCCCACATCCACACCTCAGCCCCTGATACAATCGTTTGGATCTCCTTCTAGCACAGTTTTACCATCAGAGGCTTTAAATCTGCCCTAAAGTTTGGAGACGTTCCTGTTTAGAGGGCCTATTGCTCCTCTTTAGAGGTCCTAATGCTCCTCTTTAGAGGTCCTGACCCTCCTCTTTTTGGAGGTCCTGACCCTCATCTTTAGAGGTCCTGACCCTCCTCTTTAGAGGTCCTGACCCTCATCTTTAGAGGTCCTGACACTTCTCTTTGGAGATCCTAACCGTCCTCTTTTTAGAGGTCCTGACCCTGATCTTTAGAGGTCCTCTTGCTCCTCTTTGGAGGTCCTGACCTACATATTTAGAGGCCCTGACCCTCCTCTTTTGAGTGGTCCTAACCCTCCTCTTTAGAGGTTCTAATGCTCCTCTTTATGGAGGTCCTGACCCTCAATTTTAGAGGTCCTAACCCTCTTCTTTTTAGAGGTCCTAATTCTCCTCTTTAGAGGTCCTGACCCTCCTCTTTAGAGGTCTTGACCCTCATCTTTAGAGGTCCTCTCTGTTCAGTCCAGCCAGACAACGCTTCTACCTTTGTATTTGGAGGTTTTATCCTGGGGTGGAGCAGCCTCTGCCTGATGGTGTTTTTAGATTTGAAGTACACGGAGAAGCTCCTTGGAAACTGCTGCCACTTGGGCATCATCTTAGATGAGTTAATGTCTAATGTTCTCCAACCTCTGCGTATACTCAGTTTTTAAACATCATCTGGTGGATTAAGCAGACTAAAAGCGACACGGGCTCTGGCCATTTTAGTGGACTGCTTCCCATAATCCCCCCTCACCACACACACACTTTCTTCACTGGAGCAGGAAGTCAACGCCAGAGACAAAGAGTTAGTCAGCTAGAAACAGCTCTGACCTCATTTTGCTGGAAAAACAATGTCAAATACGACCCACAGAGAGGGTTTTATTGATTAAGAGTAGCTTTAAAAGCAGGAATGGCCCCTCTGGCTCCGCCCCCAGTTGGTTTGAGGAGCCGCCTGTGACTCGAGGTGTCCTATTTAGATCTGTAACAATCACTCTGAGCCTGGTGGTGCCGGCTGACCTTTGGTCATCCCCTGAGTTTCTACTCAAGTCATTTAGAAATAAGAGATGCTCCAACCAAAACATAAAGTCGCCCACAACCTCCTGGACGATAAGAGGAAGAGGAGGACACTTCACTCCGCTCTCCTCCGCCCACGAGAGCGCAGGCAGAGCCCCCCCCAACCCCCCGATTTGGCTAGAAAACCTCATTTCCACTAAACGCCTCACAGAGGATCCGAAGCCACAGCGGCACGCTCAGCGAAAATGACCAATTAGTCAGACAAAGAGGTATTAATTAGCTCTGCTCGCATCAAAGGCTCCTGAAATGGGTCCAGAATAATCCAAAAGACTAATGGAACTGAAGCGGGTGGAGTCCTCTGAGGTGCAGGAGGTGGAAGAGAGCACATGTAATTAGAACGGAGACGGGAGATATCGGAGAGGGAAACTTATGGCGGCAATTTAAGCCCCTTTTTATGAAGAGCCTTTAGCTTTATGAGCCTCCTCCCCACGCTCTCCAGGCTGAAATACTTTGTCATTGTGGAGGAAATGAAGCCCAGTGCTCTGCTCAGACATCCCTCCAAACAGATAAGCAGAGCCTTTTCCACCGTCCGGTCAAAGTCACTTATCAGGTGTGTGTTTGCTCCTCTGATTGAAGCCCACGCAAAGTCAATGTTAGCCTTATGTTCCATACGAGGAGCATAAAAACCTAATGGCTCCTCCAGCTGCCACGACAGAATGAGAGCAAAAGGTCTTAGTGTCTTATGGCATAGCATCATAAACACAGATTCATTAGATTCGGGTGCATTTACGGCCAAAAATGGAGGGAAAACCAGGGATAAAGTGAGTGTGATACACCAGACAAAGTGAGAAAATCACTGATCAGCAGCCTGTTAAAGCAGCCAAAAACCGGTTTGGGGTTTTATTTGGTTTTATTTTGGCGGAAGCTGCTCATTAGAGCGTTTCTCGAGGCTTTCAGGTCTGAGGAGTCAGCAGCTCAGACAGACCAGGGACCCAGCGGCTGTTTGCAGCCCTCACACGCCTCCCCGGATGTCACATTACCACGCTCGCAACGCCACAAATACGGCCCGGCGAGGAGCCAGAGCACGGCGAGGAGCCGGGGCCGTCAGAGCCGCTCACCTCCAGGAGGAGGCAGCTGCTACAGTCCAACTGATGTAATTATCTCAGTAAGGAGGGCATCGCTGAGGGCCAGGGGAAGAGAGCTGTGTGTGTGTGTGTGTGTGTGTGTGTGTGTGTGTGTGTGTGTGTGTGCGTGTGTGTGTCGTCAGCCTGGAGGATGGGGGAGGAGATCAGCGTGCTGATTTAGGAAACCCAAAAATAAAACGAGCAGGAGAGGAAGCTTTTTGTGAGCAGAGTTTGGCGTCTTTCTCCCTGAAAACCAGCGTTTTTCCTCCCGCTTTAACAACCCTGAGTGGAGCCAAAACGCTGCATCCTCAGAGCTCCAGTGAAGCCGGCTGGGCCTCCTCGTCTTGAACTTTGAAGATTTTTTTTTATTCCTATAATCTGAAAAGCTTCTCCTGGTCTCAGGAAGTCCAATTTCCAAAAAGAGGGAGTCCAGCTGCCCTCAGATTAATGAGACAACATCAACACGATAGGACCAACTCACAGTCTTAGTCAGCACATAGAAGCTCTCAGACCGGGGGAGATCGCAAATATTTGATCAAATCAGATCTATTGTAAGCACTTAAACATGTAGAAGCCACTGAGTGAAGCAGTCTTAAAACTCTTTAGACGGTTCTTCTTTAAGGCCTCAGACAGAGACGAGGATTTCATAAGGTAAAGTTTTGGTGAATCTGTTTTTTAAACAGAGACCTGAGCCCAGTGCTCTTCTAGTTTATCATCATTTCCCTCTATAATTGTGGAGGAATGTGGGGGGGGTTAATGAATAATCCACATAAACTCTGTCGATGGAGTTAAAGACTGATGAGACTGTGACTGCAGGAGGAAAAAACACAGACAAAAGCTGATTTTTAACTGCTTATGCTTTCCGGCTTCGTTTGGGCAAACAAACCGAACTCAGTTGTGGAGAAAACAGGGAGGACAGACCCTAAAAATCCAAGCGGGTGGACCCAATCGCGCTCCGTTTTCAATCAGATCCCGCTCAGATAAGCTGGGACAAGCGTGAAAAATGGCAGAAATCACAGAGCGGAGAGGCGAGTGAGATGGTAATCAGGTATGGAGACGCTGTAAACATTTAGGAGCAGCAGAAGGAGTGACGTTTACGGCTCCTCCGTGATGAACAGAAGCCCACAGATAAGATCAAATGTGGGGAAATGAGGTCCAAACAGGTCTGAAAACACACACACACACACACCACAGAGACGGCTTTTTAGGGGGGAAGAAACAGAAAAAAGCATCGAGTGTTTGGTTTAAATTCAAGCTGAAGGTCACCTGACAGCAGGATGACTGCACTAACACACACACACACACACACACACACACACACACACACTCAGCTGACACCAAACCAAGTCAATAATTGCTGAACTGAGTCAAATTCACAGTGATTAAATCCTGCTCAGAGTGCTGAGGTGGCGAAAAGCTCAAAGCACTTCAAATCTTTCCCTTTAACCTTTAAAACCTTCCAAATCTTAGAAATGCTACTGGATAAAAACCTGCTTTAAGACGGACAGAAAAGCTGTAGATTAAGAACAAAAAGGCACGATTTTAAACCTGTTTTCCACCATAAAATGTGATCAAAATGAGAATCATTCATCTTTTTTTACATTAACTTTTAATAAATCCCAAAGTTTACTTTATAGGCTGATATTTTGTGAGAAATGACCAAAAAAACATATTTTTCTCCCCCGCAAAATCTCCCTTGAAATGCTTTCCAGCTCGGACCGTTTCCTTGCTTCTTCTGGCACTTTGGACAGAAAAGCTGTCACAGACGGCCCAATTAGCGGGGAATTAAAAACCAACTAAATCTGTCTTCTTAAAGTACATCCAAAAACTTTGTGGTGTGTGTGCGTGGGAAATCATCATTAGCTTCAGACCAGAACCAGAGCTGCCGGGTGGGAGTCGGTCCTAATGAGCAAAGCTGCCACCAACACTTTAAACCCTAGTTTCTGCATTAATTACCCCGATAAGGTTATTTCTAACCTCCACACAGGCAACATTTGAACAGATTGAGACTTTTTTAACTCCTTTAACCAGGGCTCTGTCGTATTTTGCAGTACTGACTATGACTGTGAGTATTTATTTGCTTTATCAGAGGAACTATTGTGTCCGTAATACATAAGTGGAGGACTAAATTGCTGATTTAAGCAATATGACACTTTCCTGCCAAGCAGAGGATGCTCTTCTATACTTGGAAGCTTCTCATGAAAATAGGCTTTTCAGGTCATTGTCACATCTGAACTGAGGCTTTTTGTACTTTTCCAAATTCTGAGAGGGGTTTAAAGTGGAAGAGGTGGGCGTCCGGGTCGAGACGCAGGTGGACGGTCTCCCCCGCATCAGCACCATCCGGCCGGCCACCGGACCACCGGACCTCCGGGCCCCCGGGCCGACGCGCCCCGCTCTCCCCGCGGCTGCTCACCTCTCTGCGGTCCTGGAGGCACTCCAGCACGGCCAGGTTGTTGGTCCAGGTGTGCTTGGGGCAGAGGCGGAGCAGGTCCTCCCGGCAGGCCTCCTCCTCCGCCAGCCTCCAGCCGGCCGTCCTTCGGGGCGGGGAGGCCCCGGCGGCAGGTGCATCCCGGACCGGGGGCTCGGCGGCCCGGGCCGCGGGGGGGTTGGGCGGCTCGGCCGGGCCGCTCACCGCCTTCGAGCTGAGGACGGACGGAAAACGGAGGGAGCAGACGAAGGGTAACAGCAGCAGCAGCAGCGGAGAGCGACAGTGTGCCGCCATCTTCACATAACTGTCAAGCTCGCGCTGCTCAGACACTCCACTTCCGGTTGGAGGTTCACAGTTAACGCGTTTTAATATGAAAAGATTAACAACTTCCGGTATGTTTCCGCCTGGAAATTGTATTGTTTATTCATTTATTTAAAATCTGTGGAAAAAATAAACCATGAAACCGACCGTCTGCATTTACCAAACACTTTCAGAAGCTATTCAAGACTTTTTTAAAGTACTTTTTGAAAGTACATTTTACAAGGTTATCTCATATTTTAAAGCATTGTGTAGCTCATTTTTAAACATTTTTATTTACTTTTGTTAAAGAAAGTCACCTTTTTCTGAATCTACTAATCATTTATCTGTTGTCCACCGTGTTCACTTTCAACACAAACTTAACACAAGAAAGTACTACTACTAAAAAACTTATTGTAAACTTCTCCATAATCAGACCAGTGAGCAGTGCTGATCAACATGTCACTGGGGTCTTTTTGGTGTTTCTGGATCTGATTGTGTTTTTGTTTTTTGTTGCTTTTAGAACCTGTAGAAGGCAGTCCTCCTGAATTCCTCCTTCATTCTCTTTTTCCTAAGATCTTCTGCCCTGTCGATTGCTGCTGGCTTCCTTCCCAACTCTTTTTCCATTTAACTAAACTCATGTAACTTACAAATTGTTTTATCAATTTTAGACATTTTAGATGTACAGTATACTCTAGCAGAGCCCCCCCACACACAATAAATCACATCATTTTGATTTTGAAAAAAAAGCATCTTACATGGATAACATTTTGATTTTCTTTATGCATCATCAGCCTACTCCGGTTAAGGAATAAGCATGATTGCGACTAACCCTAAAAGCACAGCTCCAACGAACATTGAAACCTCTTTCACAGCGGTCCACAGCTGCTGCCTGGACCTTTTCTTTGCCTGCTTTTCTGGGAAACGCCTTGCTAGTTCCACAATATGCTCCCTGATGGAATGGCTGAGGGCCTCGTCCAGGAGTGGACACATCTGGACCAGCATGGACGTCACGGCCGCCCTGCTGCCGAACGCCTCCCGTAGCTCCGCCACCACCGCCCGGCTCACCTTCCTCCCCTTCTTCAGCTTCGGGGTGAAGTCTTCCTCCAGGCTGAGTCCCTCCATGACTCGGCTGATCAGGCGCTTGGCGTGGCTGATCCAGTCCCTGTGGAGGGCGTCGCAGCTGGACAGGATGTTCACAGTGACGAGGGTGGCGAACAGCTTGAGATGACCGTTGGCAGGCAGCTCGGACGGATCCGTGACGGGGGGGTCGTCAAGACTTTCGATTGTCTCTGTTGGACTGTTCATCATGGCTGCTTTCTTGATCTTCTTCTCCAAAAGAACTGGATTTATCTCTGAACAGATGTCTTTTGAGGTCCTAGGGCTTAAAGGCACATCAAAGCATGAGCTTAAAGGCGATAATTTCACAAAAAAAGTGCAACTTGTAAGCGGAAATCCTCCATTTTAAAAGTTAAACAGGTCAAAATCACTGATTGAATGTGTCAAAAGTGAGGAGATACTTCCGGTTTTCGTGGCTATATGCATCTGTCTGCCTCTAAGCCTATTGTTAGGTGGAATCCAATGAAGTCAGATAGAACACTGACGTCATTCACTGCATAGAGGTTCGACTTGTGATGACGTCACAGGACGCGCTTTATTTGTACGGAACTGCCTGGGACCAATGTTGAACATGGCCTCCATTCTGATTGGCTGTTGACGTTCGCAACGTCACTGCATCTCTTTGAAAACAAACAAACACTTCCGGCATCGGAGCCTATTTCGTGTGGCTCCGGAGCATAGACATATATATACATATATATACAAACTACCTCGGCATACATCACAGGACAGCCTTTTGAAAAGGTTGTCGAACAACAAACCCCGAGATTTAAACCGGTTCACTGTCTGAGCGCTGACAATTTTCCACTCCGCTGCATTCAAGATGGCGGTGACGTTAATGTACGAGTCAGCCCTCAATACACCGTCCATGTATATATGTCTATGCTCCGGAGGGCCAGCTAGCTGAACTACAGTCCAAATACCCGGTCTATCCCGGCCGGTGCTCCACTCCCGGGTGCTGGCTGCCTCTTCCCCCGGTCTTCTCCACCGACTGGGACCGTTTAACCGCCGGTTAGCAGCTATGCTAACTAACGGCTGCTTGTAGCTAGCACGTGGCTAGCGCAGGTGGACAGAGCCCCCCCCCTCCCTCACACCACAGCGGGCACACTTTACGGCTCATAACGACACGATAATTAGAATAATAATAAATTATATTTTTAAAAAGCGCCTTTCATGCCACTCAAGGACACTTTACAAAGACGACCATTATTGAAACAACATCGAAACTTAAGAAATATACAAAGTCATAAATGCATCATAAATAAAGACATAATAAATAAATTAATGACAAATTAAATTAATAAAACTGCAGAATGAGGGGAATGTTAGAGTTAGGGGTGGTGAAGTGGGTAAGAAATGTTAAATAGTTGGAGGAGATTGCGTCCACCACACAGGAAAACTGTTGGCTTGTAGAATAACCACTGGTCTTATTTAATAGATCATTCGATTCTGGGAACATTGTCTGTTAGACGCTTGCAGAACAAATCTAAAGGATTTTATACATCTGGGATCTCAAAGGCTGCTACCCTGTAGGTTTGAGATGCTTCAAACATTTGATTCTTTTCTAAAAAGCATAATAATTCCTCCACCAGAGGGCGGAATGATCCGGTGAACTCATCTTGGAGTTCTGAGAGATTTCACCTGTTCCTTCTCCCACGACTGCACAGGGAACAGCCAGGAGCTTTTTAATGCCCCCTTCTCACAGTTAAAACTTTCCAAAACATCAGACGTCATATTAAAGGTTTTGAGCTTTCACAAATGGACTCGTGAGGAGGAGGAAAGCACAGCTGAGCACATCTGGGATCAGTGTTTTTATAAAGCGTGTTCAGAATTTGAGTTTCTTTTCATATGCTGCTTTATAATACAGCAATTTATTAATTACACCCATCATTTGCCAATGATTAAAGTCAAAGAATGATTTTCTATTGGAAACAAGTGAAATCAAAACCCCAAATTTTTGGTTGTGGTTCCTCTTCATGGGAATCTTGCAGCCATTAAGCAAAGTATTAATTTAAAAAGCGACAATTGGCTTACTTATATTGGTTTAAGGAAATATTTTGGACAGATATTCCCTCGTTTCAGCGCTCCCCGACAGGAAAACTTAGTACAACCTGATGCATGTGTGATGTGAAAAAGGAGGTTTGAAACAAAAAAAGCAAGAAAAATGACGAGACACCGAATACAGAAAGCCTTTTAATTTTGCTTCCCACTTAATGTCGTTTACACGAGACAATTCAGGAAAGAAAAAGGAGGAATGGTGCAGTTATATTAGCTTTTCTTTAAATCTCCTCTGATTTTCTATCATTTAAACATCTATGAGGGTTAGATGTAGCAGTGCGCAGATTAGCTGGGCAGATGAAGTTACCTCAGAAACCAGCTTAAATATGAAAAAAAAACAACCCAAACACCCAGCGCTTTTAGGCAAAAGACCTATTTCAAGAGACAGAGGTCCATTTGTGGCGATCACAGCAAAGCGAATGGGACCAAACACCTCCCAGTCCACAGCCAGCCCGAGCTTCCCTGCTTTAGTCAGACTATTTAAAGGAGTTAGAAACAAGAACAGTTCCAAACGAGTTACCGAGTAAAAAAAATCTAATCCTTAAAACAATTTAAAGCAACAGGTAGCAACGATTCAGGTTGCCCATTAGGTTAATACAACCAAAAAACTATCACTTTAAAATAAAAATAAAAAGACAAATCGAGAAGAATCTTTTTCCACGTCTAAAAAAAAAAAAAAAAAACCTAAGAAGAGGAAAAGTGGTCAGTTGGAGGATCAGAGGATCCACTGGGTTCCCCTGGACTCGGGCTGGGGATCAGCAGGCCCCATTTCATGGGGGGAACCCCTCTGTTTCTGACCTGTAGTTTCTCCTTTTTTGGGCTGAAGTCCCTCATTAAGACAGGGGCAGAAAACATCTGGACGCGACGCCTCGGTCGGCCAGCAGGGCGGCGCCGCACATCCCCCAGCATCCAAGGCACCAAATGTCTGTCTGACCTACTCGCATGGAAGTCAAAATAACAATAAAATAACATTTTAAAAAGTTCCCCCGATGGCCTGAAGGGCTCGGATCCAAGAAAGCTCAAAGCGGTGGGTAGAGGGAGGGATTAATGGGCAGGTTTACTATTTCTGGAAGCAGAAACGAATCTTAAACTGGATCAGAACGAAAGAAGAATGACTTTCCGGTCCTGATTAGCTGCAGAAATCCAAACTGTACAGTCCTTTTTTTTTTTTAGGAAGAGCCTTTTCATTTTTTGATTTAGTGGCTCTGGATAGCTGGGGTGGTCCGGTCACAACCCTCCATAACTCCAAATATGCTTTGATGAGGTGTTTTTTTTTCCGACCATGCAAATAGAAATGAGGGCAAAAAGCAGGCAGGAAAAAAAAAGATCAACGTCCCTCTTTAGAAAGCAACGAGCGATGTGAGCGAATCCGTCCGTGTCTTCTGGATTCGTCTTTTCCTGAAAAGCTCTGGCCGAATTCCACGAAGAAAAACAAAAAAAAGAAACTCACTCAATCAGAAAACAAACAAACAAACAAACAAACAAACACTGCGAGGAGCTTCAGGCGGAGCTGGATGCTCAGCTCAGAGCCACAGCTTCTGATTGGTCCTGGCCTCTCGGGGGACGCGTCCTCATTGGTTAGGGGAGCAGAGTGGGCGGAGCATCAGGAGGCCAGGAGCTGGACGTAGTTGGCGGGGTAGAGGCCCACCTGACCGCTGCCCAGCTGGCCTTTGCACCAGCCCTGCTCGTCCTCCTCCCCCAGCTTCAGCAGCTCCTCTCCTGGGGGAGAAAACCAGCCTCAGTCCACACACCCAAACGGAGGGGGGGAGGTGGGGGTGCTGCAGCCCCCCCTAGTGGTGAGGGAGATGTTTATTTTTAAATGTATTCAAAATACTTTGCACAATTTATAAATTGGTTCTGAATATTTTGGGAAATGATTTTGACTTTTATTTTCATTTTACTATTACGTGTATTTGGATTTTAATTTAATTATTTTGAGGCCTAATCAACACAGGTTCACGGAAGTTACGTTGTCATGGCAACTTCAAGCAAGCTAATGGTCGCCGAGTTAAGAGGCAGCAGACTATTAAATCTCCATAGTCTAATGACAGAAACGAGGAGGAAATATGGCACAGAAACGCCTTTCTGATTTTTTTGGAAAACCAACACCAGTAAAGAAGAACACTAGTATCTATAGCCTCATAGGTCTTTTGTCCAAAAAAACAAGGACATTTTTTTCACTGCATCCCCTGGAGGAGAGCCCCATGTGGCCGAATCCTACCTTTGGGCTCTCAGAAAGGGGCAGACAGAGTGAGCTGGGGAGCTTTCGTTGCCCCGATTTCACATTTGAATAACAACAAATCCCCGTTTCAACAGATTGCAGCAACATTAAAAAAAACAAAGCCGTGTTTCTGAGAGCATGAAGAGACACAAATTTAGCCAATTCCCCTAATTCCCCTTATACAGAGCTCTCCTCTTCACGGATTCCCGTTTAAGAACTCGTCTCAAATGGGAAATAAGAAGTCATTATTCTGATTTGCTATCTTTTACCCAGAAACGGCACTTACCAGACGTGGGCTACTTCCAGGGTCTCCAACAGTTTGAATGAGATTATATAATGGAAACGGTCTCCTTCTCTATCCTGCTTAAGAAAACTGTCTTTATTAGTCTTGGGGGGAAAACGGGTTAGGCCAGATTTTGTAGAGGTGCGTTTTTAACTTCCTGGTTTGTGCCTTTTGTGTGAGAGTCTGTATCTGGTTTCTTTATTTTTTGTCCCCTCTTCTCCCACTGCCTCCCAAATAGTACACATATACTGTTACTTAAACACACCCTTTCATTCTTTTTTAAAAGCTTTTGCCTTCCTAATCTCCCATACTGTTCCTTGTTTGTATAATTCTCAATAATATAACAAAAAGAAAGAAGAAAAAAGCATTTGATCTGAGTATTTTTCGCCACAACAGGTGTAACTGTTTTGCTGATTAATAAATAATGACAAAAAAAACTTCCTTCTGAAGAGCTCAAACTCCAAACTTGGTCAAATATTGGAGGACATCCTGAAAAGATGCCCAAAACTTTGGAGATGAGCTCCATTTTCCACTTCTGTGGTGCTGAAAACCAAATGTTTCCTTTACAAAGTCACTCCAATTTAGCTGCAATAAATGAAACATAATACAAAAATAATCCCAAAATGGAGTCAAATTTGAACCATTAGTTTTGAGAGAAGCAGATCTGGTTAAGCAGCAACCACCACAAATATCTTCATCCGCTTAATGTGACGGGAAGTAAAGTAGTAAAAAGTACTACTTTAAAAGTAAAAAAAGGTAAGATCGTGTTTCATGCATGGCTTTGTACTCCAATCTTACAGAATAAGCAAATAATCTGGAGGCATCACAGGGGGGAAAGAGAGAAACCCCAGGAAATTTACAACCTGGACTCTCAGTGAAAAGAGAAGCCCCCACCCCCACCCACCCCACCATGTGCAAGACTGCAGGAAGCCAAGGATGGATATCCAACTCCACCCACATCCAAGTCGGCCATCTTTAAAGAAAATGGTTATTGCTTCATGGCAATATAGACATTAATTTAAAAATAGAGAAGTTAATCTTGCAAACACTGAATTCAACTCTATCCATAATATTATGTTAAAATAGTGGATGTTAAATAGGTTTGTACAATAAGTCCAAACAAGTTTAACCAAAAATATTCATTTCTCACAATTATGAAGGGTGGAGGGTTAGGTTTTGGATCAGGGTCAGGGTCAGGGTTAGGGTTAGGGTTACGGTTAGGGTCATGGTTAGGTTTAGGGTCAGGGTTAGGGCTAGGTTTTGGGTCAGGGTCAGGGTTAGGGTTAGGGTTAGGACATTGTTTATCTTCTGATTCCGTATAGACAGTAAAGTTTCGTTTCCACCTCAGAAAGCTGCTAGTCACATGACCTAATCAAAATGTCCGACTTGGATGTGGGAGGAGTTGGACATCCAGCCGAGGCTCCTACAGGCTGCAGACAGAGCCCCCCCCCCCGTGGGGCCTCCCCCTGAGGCGTTAGGGGTTAGTACCTGCTTTAAAGCTGAGCTCGTCGGCCTCCTGGCCCGTGTAGTCGTACAGCGCTCGCACCGGCACCCCCACTACCTGCTCCTCCTCCTCCTCCCCCCCCACGCCGTTCTCCGACAGCCCTTTCTTTGGGCTCTCCTCGTCCGACCAGTCGGAGGAATAGTCCTTCACCCTGAGAGCAGAGCGGGGGGGAGAAGGTTAGAGTTAAAGCAGCCGGTCGGCTTATAGAAACATTCAGTTCAGACGTTAAAACAATACGTTTGAGGTTTAAAAGACATTTAAACCTCAATTCTTTAGGTAAAAAAAATAGTTCTTAATCAGTTTTTTTAATTTTATTGTGATTATTCAAAGAAAAAAACAAGCATCTGCTTTTCCCTGAGACTTCTCTCCTGGACACAGACCAGACCAGAACAGAACTTTATATGCAAATGTTCTCACTTTGTAAGAATAAAACTAATTCCTTCCTTTTTTTTGTCTCTCATTGAAGCTGTCACAGTACAGGAACTAGTTTTCCCTCATAAAGGGACAGAGGGCTTTATTTTTAATACTCAAACTGTGTATTTGTGTATTTAAAGAATTCCTTTGCAGTTTGGTTCTGAGGGTATAAATGACCAACGTACAAAATCCTAATAAAACAATAAAGATCTGATGGTTTGGTTTCAGATTTCAAACATTGGCGTCTGTTAGTCACTCTGAAAACAGAAAGGCAAATGTTTTTTTTTATGTTTTAGCCACTTATAATTCCAGCAATTCTTGCCTAAAAGCATTTTAAACAAAACCAAGTCCATTTAAAGCTGTTGTTGAAGCCTCTGGAGTGGAGGCATGGTGGAGAACTCCCTCTGTCACAGAGTAATATGACTCACTGGAAATTGTGTGGTCTAAATTTGGGGTAAAGTTTCAGGAAGTGTCAGGAAAAAAAATAAAACATCTCTCTTTTTAAGCATAAAACGAGAAAAAGACCATCAGTTTGGTTCTGTTTACAGCTAAAACGTCCCCCATGTGTAAAATAAAAGCAGGAATCTAAGCTAAGGGAGGATTTTAGAAACAGGACTCTCCTCAGCTCCCACCCCCTTTTCTATCCCAAAACACTTAAAACACAGAAGCTGATGGAACTCTTCCATGAAGCCTCAAAGTTTCCAAGAACAAATATAACTCCAGAAGAAACGCTCCAGTTAGTGTCCTCCAGTGAGACGGCTTCTTCACAAACACTCTGACATCCAGAAACAATCCAGCAGAGGCTTTCCACCAGCTCTGACCCTAACTGGCCTTTTCTGGCATTTCTGGGAGCAAACAGCCGTCATTTTAAAGGGTTAAAAGTTCAATATGAGGGGGAAATGAAGGCTGTGATGAGGTTTAATTCACAAAAAGGATAAATAAATTTGTATTTCAGTATTTTTCCTCCAGGCTGCAGTAGAGTCTGCTGGATAGAGAATCATTCCCAGCCTTTAATTATGCAAACAGACTACTGTTTGAGCACATGGTGAGCTCTGGGAGCCGTCCCTCGTTCTCTGGAGGCCCGGTTCTGCCGGGCCAAGCCCAGAAAGGCCTGGGGGTGCAGGAGGCCCCGGGGGGGGGGGGGGGGGCACGGTGGGATTAAACGCAGAGGAGGGGCCGCCATGCTTAATTACAGAGGCAGATAAATCGGCAGATTTAAAGGGGCAACTAAGCCGTTTCTGCACAAAAACGAGTGCAGGCGATCACAGATTAAAGCAGAAAGCAAAAACAACGCAAAAAGCTTAGGGGGAACATCGAAGAAAAGGAAAAAAAAACAGCAATACAGTGATAAAAATGTATTTAATGTTCAGATCAGACACCCGAGTGGCCCAGCTAGATCCTGTCTTCCACCAGAAAACCAGGATTGGGATCATAGATAGGTAGATATTTAGATGGATAGACAGATAACAGAGGTGTCCCAGATGTGTGGACAGATGTTAAGAGGCGGTAAAACCCGAGTCACGCCGCTGCCATCGAATTAAAGACGCTCTCTTAGTAAATAACACTGATCTGTGGGTTGTGCAGCAGCAAAAGCCGGAGCGTTCTGTTTTTTTTAAACTTCTTTTCGGGGGCAGCAGATCCAGGCAGGTTTGTAATTAGAGAGCATCGTGCTCCTCGGGGAGGCCACCAGAGAGCAACGCCAGCTAAATACACGCTGCTACCGTCGGTCTCCAACACACACACACACACATACACAGGACACACACACACTCACACAGGAGACACACACATAATTGTAGTCTTGTGTTAAGTCTGGACCAAACAGCCCACAGATGCAAAAACAACCCCCGCAGCCTGCTCTGCGCGTGCACGCCAGCACACGAAACACAAGCTCCTTAAAGGGACATTGTTTAGTATTTTAAGTATTTTATTAGCTAAAATCATTTTCTTCATTTCTAAATGTTTCTTCATTTGGTGTGAAATGACCTCTGCAATGATCTGACTTCTCCTCATAAGGAAGAATTTCCTATCTCTATATACGTAGGACGGGTAAGTTCATGGAGGTTTCCATGGCAATCCGCCATTTTGAAAAACTATAATGGCAGAAAGGGACATAAAGCACTAGTCTGCCTGTCTAGCTAACCCACAACGCCTTTTTCTTCAGTTTTCAGAGTGACGTTTAAAGAAAAATAATCAGATATAGAACATATCACTACTGATTAGCTCAGTTCTGCTTTTCAGTCTGTGATTCAGACTGTAACATCCGTTTGTTCGTTGTGTGTCGAGTTGTTAGCTAACGCTAGCTTAGAGGGTTGAGGTCCGGCTCCTACCTGCCGGCGTCGGTGGTGATGGGGCTGGGCGGGCCGTTGCCTCCCCCCGAGGACACGATGTTGGTGAGGGTGACCACGTTCTCCTCCGAGTTGCCCCCCCGCTCCTTCCTGCTGATGGAGCGGCTCGTCTCCGGTGACCACTCCTGCACACACACACACACCATCTTATTTCAAAAGCCTGTTTTCTGGCTGAAAAGAGGACGAAAGGCCCGAGATCAAGAACAAAGTTTGGCTTTTTTTCAGTTTGTGTTACGAGGGATCTGAAACTTTGAAACTTTTCAGCAAACGCCGGACTCCCAAAGATAAAAAACGTGACATTTATTTATTTTATACTTTTTTATTGCTCCAAAGAAATAAAGACATTTTAAAATGTGAATCCCAGTTGATGGAGACTCACTGGATCCAGCTATGTTGAAGCTAAAATCTCTCTCTCTCTCTATAAAGTCAATCTGTGAGAAATCTCTGGTCCGTGTGAATAAAAACAAAACAAAGCCGGGGTTCCTGTGTCCTATCACACCCACACAACACAACGCAAACGCACACTTATGGTAACAACAGGGTTGGATAGGGTTACAGGAGTTTTCTGCGCACTACGGGAGGCTGTGAGGGCCAAAAGTCCCCACAGGTGCAGGAATAAGGCCACAGTGGGGCAGCAGAGGCACGATCCCTCCCCTCTGAGGACGCCTGCCTGGAAAAGCTGAGCCGGGGGGGGGGGGGGTGGCAGAGTCCTCACAAGAGCAGAGACTGAGCTGTAAGTGTGTGTGTGTGTGTGTGTGTGTGTGTGAGCTGGGACAATGGCTCTCTGTTTGCGTGTCAGCGGCACTGTGGGAACGCTGGGAGATTCCTCTGAGGACGGCGGAGACATTTCCCCCTGCCAGCTTCTTCCTCTGTGCTAGGCGGGACTCTCTTCCACGAGTCCAAATCTATATAAATCCACAGCACTGGAAAGGTCAAAGGTCATTAGGGTAAACCGTTGTTTGTGACGGACGCATCTGAAAATGTGTGTCAGCGAGCCGCTGGGATTAACAGGATAATGTTGCATCACGCTCTCAGCTCAGGAGAAAAAACGCCCGTCTCCTCCCTTTTGCCTCCTCCCGGCCTCAGCTTTAACTCGTGGTGCATTCACTGTCTCCCCCCGGTAGGAAATCGCAGCTACGCTTTTTGCTGCTAAACCGGTCGAAATCTACTTTGAATTCAGGTTAAACTCTGTCAGAGCTTTCATTCTGATCTTTCCAATCAGAATTTAGACCCGGGGTCTTCAAGGTTTTCCAGGCCAAGGACCCCCAAATGGGTAAATGGAGCGGGGAACCCCTAATTATATATATTGTCTGAAATTGTGTTCTATCAAACTGGTCCCATAGTGTGTAAATGTGTCTTGTTATTGGGCATTCAGTACTAAGATCATCAGATAATCCACAGGTTGATATCTTCCTGTTTTTACTGTAAACATCTGGTTCTGGTTCCTGGTTGGTGGGACAGGTGTTGTGAATGAAACGGGGCCCAGCTTGAAAGAGCTCCTGTGTG